TCCAGTATGCATCCTTTGATGTTGAATCAGATATGCACTCTGACCAAAGGTTTTCCCACACTCATTACACTTTTAGGGTTTCTCTTGAGTATGAGTTCTCTGATGTTGATTGAGACGTGTACTTCTGCTGAAAGATTTGTCACATTTTCTGCATTTGTAAAGTTTATCTCCAGTATGAATTACCTGGTGTTTTGAGTAAGGTGTGTATTCCATCAGAAAGCCTTCCTACATTCATTACATTCAAAGGGTTTTTCTCCAGTATGAATCCTTTTATACTGAATAAAGGATGATCTATGGCTATAGGCTTTGGTACATTCAGTACATTCATAGGGCTTCTTTCCAGTATGTGTTCTCAGATATAAAGTAAGTTGAATACTCTGGGTAAAGGCTTTTCCACATTCGTTACATTCGAAGTATTTTTTCCCCAGTATGAATCCTCTTACGGCGCAGTAGGGATGGACTAGGACTAAAGATTTTACCAAATTCAACACGTTCATCTGGTTTCTCTCCAGAATGAGTTCTTTTATTACAAGTCGGTTGAATGCACGCTCTGAATAAAGGCTTTGCCACATTGATTACATTCATAGGGTTTCTCCCAACTATGAGTTTTCCAATTCAGAGAAAGATATCAACTTTGCTTAAAGGCCTTCCCACACTGATGACATTCATAAGGTCTCTCCTGTATGAATCCTCTGATGTTGCATGAGGCATGCACTTTGGATGAAGGCATTCCCACGTTCACCACACTCAGCACTTTTCTCCAGTATGAGTTCTCTGATGTAGAATAAGGGATGAGTCCCAGCTGAATGATTTTCCACAGATATTACATTCATAAAATCTTTCAACTGTGTGACATCTTTCATGTTGTGTAAGGTGTGTTCCCCTGCTTACAGACTTCTCACAATGTTTGCATTTGAAAGGCTTTTCCCTAGTACCAAACTTTTGCTATCCAATAATAATGCCCAGGTTATCTCCGGCATGAGCATGCTGGTGTTGAGTAAGATCTGAGCCACAGCTTAAGTATTTCCCACATTTGTCACATTTGTGTGGTTTCTTCCTCCTCCCCCCCCCCCCAGGTAGATTCTCTGATGATTACTTAGATCTAGGTTATGTGAAAAGTGACTGTCATCACTGTCATCTTTTGGCACCATTTTCCCCGAAGAAAATTGTTTTGAGTATCAATAGATAGCACTCTAAGCTTTTCTTCCAATCCATTACATTTGTGAATGGTCCCCTGAGTCAGCCCTTTCTCTTGGGTATATGCTATTTGCTCTAGATGACTCTCTAAACACTCAAAAGATGCTGTGACTTGTCTTGTGGAATAATGCATTCTATCCTTTTTACCTTTGGTGATTATCGTTCCTCGGGAACAATCTTTAAAAATCACTTGCTTCGTATTTGACTCTACAGTCCCAGGTCTGGTCTCCTGGTCTGAAAAAAATTACTTGATCACTTATAAAAACAAAGCCCATATAACATGTTACTATTACTTTTATATTTTGTTGTCTCAGACAGAGGTATGTGGCTTTGACTGATTTTGAATGTCACGCAAGCTAGGGGCCACTGTGACACAGGAGCAAGGAAGACATCAACAGGGAGAGGTAAGAGGTTTAGAAGTGTTGAAAATGAAGGAAATAAGGACTTCCCTCATCAAATGACTGATGGGTGAAAACTGGGCCCTTGAGAATGGACAAGGGAACAGTGTTAAGGGGGATCATAGCAATAACTACCAGGCAAGGAAAGGGGCATAAACTGAATTCCCCACATGCCTGAATCACAGTGAAATGTCACCAATAATTCCTTAGCACACAACTTGTTTCTCTGTGTGTTCTTGTAAATTTTCACAATGACTTTCCCGAAACAGCAAGTCGCCAGGTTTGTAAAGACAGCCCCAGTCCACCCACTCTGCTGCCATCAGCAGTCACTGCTGAATTGACTAGAGGGACAATCCATACCTCATAAAGTCATCAAGCGATGGGCAGAATGGACACATGCAGAATCTGACATGGGGAAAGCTGCATGTGAAGAAGGCAGGAAACTGAGGAGCACGTGTGAATGGAGGAGTGATTACAGAAATCTTGCAGAGACTGAAGGCTGCAGGAAGCAGAGAATCACAGTGTGGGTTCTGCCAGGTGGTGGTCATGGTTACAATGAAGTTTTTAGTGTATTTGACTAATGATGGCATTCAAGATGGCACATGAGAAGAGAGGAGTAATGGAGAGTTCTGTCCGAGTGCCCATGATGACACAGGCTGACACAGTGCAGTAGTGCACAAGGGATTCTATCAGAACGGAGAGAGACAGAAGCTATGGGTGCTGAGGGACGTGGAAGGTCAGATGACGAATGAGGCTGAATGGGAAGTGACAGCTGATGACACAAGTGGAGATAGGAGCGCAGAGGAGGAGGCTGGGTGCTGGGAGGCAGAGCAGAGAGGCTGGGTGCTGGGAGGCAGGGGAGCTGGTGGTGCAGTGAGCCTTCTGCACTGGCAGCCACTGGACCTGGGGCCTGCTCCAAGAGGTGAGGGTAAACAGCGAAGAGCAGAAGATGATGGAATTGGGATATGGAGGCATACAAATCAAGGTGTAGTATCAAGAAAACCAACAGGAGAGAGGACATGAGGAAGGGAAGAAACACAGTTAATTCCGAAAAACAAGGATTTCAAAGCATCTTTGGATCGTAGTAGACAGACGGTATCTGCCATGGGATCATCTGTGTAGAACAAAGCATGGAAAAGAGGCTGACGGTCCTAGGAACACTGGAAGGCATGAGAGAGAGAAACAGGTGAAAGCTGCATAATGAGCAACGGAGGGGTTTCTTTAGAGAGGGAGGGAATGCTGGCGGTACAGACAGTGTGTGTACAGCTGAGAGAACAGAGGTGAGGAAGCACAGCCTAGGAGAGGTGGCATGACCGAGGATAAGAACAAAAGCAGAGTCGCGCTGCCGAGCAACACAAGGAGCAAGGGAAGTTTCACGCACAGCAAGCGGCACTAGGGGCGAAGCTGGGCAGCTGCCTGTTGAAGTCCAGCCCTGATTTCCCGGTGGGGCAAGGCTCTGAGGACAGCATCATAGGAACCACTGGCTTGCTGCTCAGCCTTGTGCATGAGCTCTCAGGACCCCTTTCTGCCTGTTCACCTAGGGAGGGACTCCTGGGAACTGTCCTCCACACCATCCAGGACGATACACTTTCCTCCAAATAGGAGATTACATCAGGTTTGCAGTCCAGGAACCCTGCTTGGGAAAGGTAAGAGGCTTAGGTGTGGGGCTCAGGAGAGATGTGAACCCAGGGCCCTGACAGTGGTGTTCCCTGACACTCAGAGACTGTACAGCACGAATGACAGCGATTTGTGGGCAATCCATAAAAATTTCACAAGCCTGTGTGTCCCATGGGGCAGGAAACCATGACCTCTGAATCTCTCTCTCTCTCTTTTTTTTTTTTTTTTTGTTTTGAGACGGAGTTTCGCTCTTGTTACCCAGGCTGGAGTGCAATGGCGCGATCTCGGCTCACCGCAACCTCCGCCTCCTGGGTTCAGGCAATTCTCCTGCCTCAGCCTCCTGAGTAGCTGGGATTACAGGCACATGCCACCATGCTCAGCTAATTTTTTGTATTTTTAGTAGAGACGGGGTTTCACCATGTGGACCAGGATGGTCTCAATCTCTCGACCTCGTGATCCACCTGCCTCGGCCTCCCAAAGTGCTGGGATTACAGGCGTGAGCCACCGCGCCCGGCCTCAGCAGGTTTTGCATTTAGAAATTTATTCATTTCTTCCAGGTTTTTCATTTTGAGGCAAATAGTTGTTCTTAATAACCTCTTGTAATCCTTTGTATTTCTGTGGTATCAATTGTAATTTCTCCTTTTTATCTCTGATTTTATTTATTTGAGTCTTGTCTCTTATTTTCTTAGTCTACTAACAAATTGTTGATTATATCTTCAGAAAACCAACTGTCTCATTCATCTTTTCTATTTTTAAAATTTTCTATTTTGTTTATTTCTATTCTGATCTTTATTATTTATTCCCTTTTACTACTTCTACTACTTTGTACCTTTTGTTTTTTCTTGTTTTTCTGGTTCCCTGAAATATAATATCAGATTATTTGTTTGAAACAGTTCTTTTTTTCATGCAGGTATTTATTGCTATAAACTTCCGTCTTAGAACTGCTTTTGCTAGAGTGCAATTTAACTCCATTTATTTCTTGTAGATGATTATTTTGTCTGGATTTGTTTCACTGATGAAAATGTGGTGCTGAAATTTTCTGTTATTATTGGATTATAGTCCATTTCTCCCCGTAGGCCTATTAGTATGTACTTTACGTATTTGTGTGCCCCAGTGTTGGGTACATACTTATTTATAACTGTTACAACCTCTTGCTGTATTGATCTCTTTGTTAATTTATAATGGCTTTCGCCATCTTTCTTTACCATTCTTGACTTAAAGTCAGCTTTATCTAACGTATCTACTCTTGTGATTTTTCTGGTTTTCATTTGATAGTTTATCTTGTTCTATCATCTCACTTTGTCTTTGTAGATGAAGTGACTTACTGTAGACAGCATACACTTGGTCTTGTTTTTGAGTTTATTCGGCTATTCTATATCTTTTCATTAAATAATTTAAGTAATTTAATCCATTTACCTTCGAGGTTATTACCGACATGTAAGGGTCCTGTACCGCCGTTTCGTCACGACTTTTCTGGTCCTTTTGCAGATCCTCAGGATCCTGAAGCGGAGGTCCACAGGAGGGGAGGGGCGGGTCCCGGGCGCTCCGCAGGCCAAGGGAGCTGATGTCGGGACCGGGGTCACAGGGCTCCGCTCCTGCCACCTCTAGGGCCCCAGGGCGGGGGAGGGTGAGAGTCTGGGAGTTTCGTTCACCCCTGGGGCTGGACAGAGGCTCGGCCCGCGCCACACCCGAAGCCGCCTCCGGCCAGTCCGTGGCCCCTTTAAGACGGGGCGGTGCTTCAGCCTGGCGCGAGGGACGCTGCCAGCGTGCGCCGCTACGGAAGCCGAGATTGCGCGTCTCGCGTGGACCCGGCAGGAGCGGCGGCGCGGCCGGAGCGAGCTTCGGAGAAGCAGTGGTGGCTTCCGTGAGATGGCGGAGGAGGAGGCGGGTCTCCGCGGTAAGTGGCGGGGCCGTGGGCCCTACTGGGAACCCTTCGGGCCTCCCTGCTCCTCCCGGCTGCTCCCTGCTTTCGGGCCCTGACTTCTCTGTGGGCATCTGGGCCCTCGTCGTCCGTGTGGGGGCGGTTGTGGGGTCCTGGCCGCGGCAGCGTCCGCGTCCCCTCCCGGCTGGTGTCCGGCCCGCATCCAGCGTCTAGGAGCGCCTTGGCCCAGAGCTGGCTGTGAAGCTCCGAACCTGGGTCCCTCCAAGCGGCGCGGGCCTCTGAGCTGGGGGTCTAGGGTTATTTTTGATGCTTCGGGACCTTTAGAAAGAGACCTCGCTAGAGCAGGGGACATGTGTGGTTTCGAGTCTTTGAGGAGTCTCCAGTTATTTAGCTGTTTTCCGTGGTGCGTATCCTAATTTTCATTTCCACCTGCAGTGTATGAGTTCCCCTTTCTCAAAGCCACACCCACATCCCTATTTTTATTTATTTATTTATTTTTTGAGACTGAGTCTTGCTCTGTCGCCTAGGCTGGATGCAGTGGTGCCATCTCAGCTCACTGCAACCTTTGCCTCCCGGGTTCAAGCAATTCTCCTGTCTCAGCCTCCTGAGAAACTGGGACTACAGGCATCCGCCACCATGCCAGACTAATTTTTGTGATTTTAGTAGAGAGGGGGTTTCCCCATATTGTCAGGCTGGCCTCAAACTCCTGACCTCAGGTGATCCACCTGCCTGGCCTCCCAAAGTGCTGGGATTACAGGTGTGAGCCACCATGTCCAGCTCCCCCTATTTTCTAAAAACTTTCTGGGAATATGTGGTTTTGAATTACATTTTTTTTCCTCTTGTGATCAGTTTTTTTTTTTTTTTTTTTTTTTTTTAAATTTTACTTTAAGTTCTGGGGTACATGTGCAGATCTTGCAGGATTGTTACATAGGTATACACATGCTGTGGTGACTTGCTGTCTCCATCCCCTCGTCACCTACATTAGGTATTTCTATTCACGTTATCCCTCCCCAACCTCCTCACCCACTGCTTTCACTCCCCTAGCCCCCCAACCCCCAACAAACCCCAGTGTATGATGTTCCCCTCCCTGTGTTCATGTATTCTCGTTGTTCAACACCCACTTATGAGAACATGGTGGTGTTTGGTTTTCTGTTCTTGTGTCAGTTTGCTGAGAATGATGTTTTCCAGATTCATCCATGTCCCTGCAAAGGACATGAACTCATCCTTTTTTATGGCTGCATAGTATTCCTTGGTGTATATGTGCCACACTTTCTTTATCCAGTCTATCCTTGATGGGCATTTCGGTTGGTTCCAGGTCTTTGCTATTGTAAACAGTGCCGCTACAGAGAACTAAAACAAATATGCAAGAAAAAAATCCCATCATGAAGTGAGCGAAGGATATTAACAGGCACTTTTCAAAAGAAGACATTTATGTGGCCAAAAAACAGATGAAAAAATGCTCATCATCACTGGTCAGTAGAGAAATGCAAATCAAAACCACATTGAGATACCATCTCACGCCAGTTAGATTGTCGATCATTTAAGAATCAGGAGAAAAAATAAATAAAAAATAATCAGGAGACAGATGCTGGAGAGGATGTGGAGGAATAGGAATGCTTTTACAGTGTTGGTGGAAATGTAAACTAGTACAACCATTATGGAAGACTGTGGCGATTCCTCAAGGATCTAGAAATAGAAATATCGTTTGACCCCGCAATCCCATTACCAGGTATATACCCAAAGGATTATAAATTGTTCTGGTATAAAGACGCATGCACATGTATGTTCATTGCGGCACTGGATTACAGTTTTCTAATGAATAGTTAATTTTGAGGACCTTATCTCTTATCTGTTTGATTTTATGTCTGCAGAATTGTCTGTTCAAGCTCTTTGAGAAATGTTAGATTGGATTATTTTGCTACTTTTTAGTGGGTTTTTTTGTGTGTGTTAGATGACAGCTCCTTGTGAAATGCGATTGTCTGAAATTTTTGCGTAATGTAGAAGATGCTTTTTTATTTGGAAAGTAGTTTTCTTTGCTGTGCAGAAACTTTTCAGGTAGATGTAGTCCCACATGTTTACTTTTGCGTTTCATGCATGTAATTTTGGTCACCCATGTAATTTTGGTCACCCAAAATATGTATCAGTGACTAAGCATTTAATGTTATTGAGGTTTTTCTTCTAGGGTGTTTGTTTCTTTTCCTCTTTGCAAAGGTGAGCAGAGATGCAAGTGACCCAAAATGCATGCTCAACCTGTGTTTTAGTTAAAAACATTTTCTGGTTTATGGTCTTTTGTCTTGGCCTTTAATTTGGGGGCCGGGTGATTTTCGTACATTGTGTAAAATAAGGGTTCTATTTCTCTTCTGCATCCAGGTATTTTTCTCAGATGTGTTCACTGAGCGGAATGCCTTCCGCGTTGTGGTGTTCTTTATCAAAGTGAGTTGAGTGTGTCCGTGTTTGCACTGATCTTGTTTTTCTCCTCCCTGGTTTTGTCCGTAGTTCTAGGTATGTGATTTTATGCAAGTACCATGTATCTGCGGCGTGACTACAACTTGGCAATGTAATTTGATTTCGAGGATTTTGAGTCCTCACTTTGATTTTATTTCTCAGGATTCTTTTAGACATTCATTGCTGTTGTGGTTCCCTGTGATTTTTAGCAATATGTATTTATGAACTTTGTTTCACAACATAAAGGTCCAAATTAGGGGTACATTTTCATACATAGAGATTAATGATCAAATCAGAGTACTTAGGATCTCTGTTCCCTCATACAGGTGGTATTTTTGTGTGGGGAGAACATTCAAAATTCTCACTTCTTGCTCTTTCAAAAAATAAAATATTGTTAACTGTAGTCTCTTGGCTGAGGAGAACACTAAGATTTAATCCTTTAATGTTAAGATAACTTTGTTTCTATAACCAATCCACATTCCCCCTCTAACTCCCAGACTCTGGTGACCAATATTGTGCTTTCTACTCCTTTAAGGTAAACCCCTTAAGATTTCACATGAGTGGTATCATGCAGTGTTTCTTTCTGGGCCTTTCCTAGCTCATTACATTTAACATCATGTTTTCCAGGTTCATTTGGGTGGTTCTAAATGTCACTGTTTCATTATTTTGATGGCTGAAAAATATTCCCTAGTGTATGTATATGAGAGTTTCTTGATCCCTTTGTCTGTGGATGAACAGGTAGGTTGAATGTGTACCCTGTAGTGGGACTGCTAGATGATATGGTATGTCTTTTTTCTCTGTTCGTTGTAGGATCCCCAACTGTTTTTATATGTAAACACTAATTTGCATTTCCACAAGTAGTTCCCCTTTCTGGAAATTCATACCAGGAATTGTCTTTTTAAATATTTTTAATCTTTTTGTAATGTTCATTCTAGTTGAAGTGAGATAAGATCTGAGTGTGGTTTTGATCTACATTTTTTTTTTTTTTTTTTTTTTTTTGAGACGGAGTTTCACTCTTGTTACCCAGGCTGGAGTGCAATGGCGCGATCTCGGCTCACCGCAACTTCCGCCTCCTGGGTTCAGGCAATTCTCCTGCCTCAGCCTCCTGAGTAGCTGGGATTACAGGCACGCGCCACCATGCCCAGCTAATTTTTTGTATTTTTAGTAGAGACGGGGTTTCACCATGTTGACCAGGATGGTCTCGATCTCTCGACCTCATGATCCACCCGCCTCGGCCTCCCAAAGTGCTGGGATTACAGGCTTGAGCCACCGCGCCCGGCCTGATCTACATTTTTATCATGAGTAGTAATGTTAACCATGTTTTTGTAAATGTTGGGTCAGTTTCCTGTCTTTGCACAAGTATCTATTCAGGTTATTTGCCCAGTTTTGGTCTGGTTATTTTTCTGTTGTTTTTTTGCCAGCTGGTAGTGTTGCTGGCTTGTACCTTTACAAAAATAACCTCTTATCCACTGTATGTTTGCCCAAACTTTTCTTATAATTTTTAGTATGCTTTTTCATTTTGTTCATTGTTTCCTTTGTTGGGCACAAACTCTTCAGTTTGACGTGGCCCCACATGTGTGTAATTTCTTGGTTAGCTGTGCTGTTGGTTACTAATCAAGGAAAAACAAAATCACTACCAAAGCAGTCCATTGTCCATTGCTTTTTTTCCCCTTGTATTTTGTTACTTTGCAAACTGTGAACATACATCCAAGTTGCCCTAAGTATATGTACACCAGAGGTTGTCATTATAGGAGCTTTGTGGTTGCACGTTTTGTGTGTAATCTTTAATCCTTTTGGGTTGATTATTGCATATTTAATACTGTAAGAGTTCTGTATTATTCTTTTGCATATGGATATATCATTTTGAAAACCTTCCCCATTGTGTTATTTTGGTGGTGTTTTGAAAAATGTGTTCCCTCTATATAAATTTGTGTTTATTATTGAGCACCCTCATTTTGCTCAGTGGTCTGTGTTTCTCTGTGTATTCCAGTAACACAATATGGGTTGGTTAATTAGGGATTTTCATTTAATTAGAACGCAGGGAATGTGATGCATCCCACATGGGTTGTATCTCTCAGGATAGCTTTAGAAATTCAGGATGCTTCACATTACCACATAAATTTTGGCATTGTTTGTTTATATTTCTTAAAATAATATTTACCATATACCAAATGTATATAATTAGAGGGTACAAGGAAGATTTTGATACATGTAAATGTTAAGTAATAATCACATCGGTTCCTTTAGCATCTCTTCAGCTCATATAGTTAGTATTTTTTTGTGTGGTAACAACGTTCAGAATATTTCCTTCTAGCTACTTTCAAGCATATGATACATTTGTGTTAAGGCTAATCACACGGCTGTAGAATAGAAGATCGAATTGATTACTGTCATCTGAGAGTAATTTTTACCCATTACTGACTCCTTCCCAGACCCCTGCTACCTCCCCGACAGCCTCTGGTAACCCCTATTGAACTTTCTACTTCTAGGAGGTAAAATTTTTTTTAGTTTATGTGTCTGAGATCATGTGGCATGGGACTTTCTCTACCAGGCTCATTCGTTAGACCTGATGTTCTCCATGTTTCTTCATGTGGCTGCAGATGTCAGGATTTCCCAAAGCTTTATGGCTGAAATATATTTCATGGTGTATTTGTACAGCAGTTTCTTCATCCCTGCAGCTGTGTGTGGACAGGTAGATTGCTTCTGTACCTTGGTGACAGTTGTCCGTACACATGGGAAGGCAGATAGCTCTCTTCAGCCTAGGGATCTCAGCTGCTTTAAATGTGGAACCAGTGGTGGCGAGGAGGGAGACTCAGGCATTTGGGATTCCCTCCCCCTCTGTCATCCGCTGTGCATCTCAATAAAAGAGCAGGCCAGCTGGCGCCTCCTGAATCTCCTTCCTGAAAACAACAGGCTAGGCCTTGGGGGAATTCTCCAGAAGGCACTATTTTTACTTAAAACAAGATCAAACCAGAAACCTTTTCACATATGAGTCCTAAAACTGTAAACCAGAACCCTTTCATATGTGATTCCTGAAACTGTAAACAGAGACCTTTTCACATGTGAGTCCTAAAACTGTAAACCAAAACCTTTTTGCATGTGAGTCCTAAAACTATGAACCTAAGAGCCTTTCACGGGAAACATCTAAAGCAGGTGTCCCCAAACTTCTTACACAGGGGGCCAGTTCACTGTCCCTCAGACCGTTGGAGGGCTGCCACATACTGTGCTCCTCTTACTTACCACCAATGAAAGAGGTGCCCTTCCTGAAGTGCGGCGGGGGGCCGGATTAATGGCCTCAGGGGGCTGCAGTTTGGGGATGCCTGATCTAAAGTATAAGCCTATGTAAAGGCTGAACCTCCCTTTGTTTTGAGCTTGGCTGTTAGGCACCTATGCCACCTTGCTCCCAACTGAAATAAATTCCTTCCTCCTGTATTCGGTGTCCGAGAGATCCTTTCCCGCGGCCGCTCCTGCTACAGTGGAGAGATGCTAGCTGACATGGGAGGTGTGCTGTGAAGTTTTTCAAGAGCCTCCAGCTGTTTTTCATAAGTGTGTATACTAATTTACATCCCCACCAATGGCATTTAAGAGGTTACTCTTCTGTAAGTCTATAGACTGGCTGTTGCCTTAAAAAATGTGTGTCTTGTTTTGGTAGTATTCATTCTGAGTGGAATGAGATGGAATCATGGTGTGGTTTTTATGGATGTTTTTGTGAGGATTAGTGATGTGGAGAAAGTTATTTGAGAAATCCCACGTTGCTTTCCACGGTGTCTGAACTGGTTTGCATTTCCACCAGCAGCAGAGCAGCGTCCCTCTCCTCCTCAGCCTCAATGGCATTCATGCTTGTGGACTGTGTCATAATCATCATTCTGATCAGTGTGGAATACTGTCTCATAGGCCCTTTGCTTTGCTTTTCTCTGATGATTGCTGAGGTAGAGAAATGTTGTCATGTCTGTTGGTTGCTGTAAACCTTCTTTGGAAATGTGTGTTTTCATGTCCCTTGCCCTTTCTTCATTGAGTTTTTGTTTTGCTGATTTATTTGCTTAATGTCTTCAAGGTAGATCCTGGGTATTAGCCTTCATCAGATGCATACGTGGGAACATTTTCTCCCGTTGTGTAGGCTGTCTGTTCACTCTGTTGGTCATTTCTTCTGCTGTGCAGCAGCTCTTCTGTGTATTAGGTCCCACTTGTCAATAATTGTGTTAGTTGCACGTGCTTTTGGAGACTGTGACACATCCGTGCTGTGCCAAATCCTCTGTCAGGAAGGGTGTTTCCTAGGTTCGCTTGCAGGCTTTTCACACCTTGAGGTCTTACATTTACATCTTTCATTCATCTTGAGTTTGTTTCTCTACACCATGAGACATGGGGCCCACTGTTTTTCTTCTGCAACTGGCTAGCCATTCCAGCATAATCAATTGAGAGGAAGAAGTCCTTTCTCCAAAGCTTATTTTTGTGGATTTTGTTGAAGATCAGAAGGTGTTAGGGGTGTGGGTTTATGTCTGGATCCTCTAATCTGTTCCACCCTTCTGTGTGGAATGGGGTTCCTAGCTTTTCTATGAAATATAAAATCGGGAAATATGGCACAACCAATGTAGTTTGGATTTCTCAGGATTGCTTTGGAAATTCAGGGTGTTTTGTGGTCCACATGAATTTTAGCATTGCATATTTATCTATTTTTTCAAAGATTGGCCATATAGTAAAGGTATACACTGGGGAGAGTTAGAGTGGGGCATTTTGGTTAATGCAGACACAGAGGAATGATAAAATCAGGATATTTAGAGCCTCTGTTATCACAAGCAGTTGTTAATTTCTTTGTGGTGAAAACATTAGGAATCTTTGTTTCTAGATTTTGTGAAAAAGTTGTGACGTTGTGTTAACCTAGTCACTGTGCTGTGGAACAGAGGAAGGATTCATTCCTCTCATCTAAGTGTAACTTTGTACCTATTTCTGATCCCTGCCCATGCCTCCTCTTCCCTCGAACCTCTGATAACTGCTATTGTGCGAAATTTCTAGACTATGCGATAAAGCCTTCTATTTTGGATTCTACATGAGTGAGATGTGGCAATTTTTTTTTTTTCTCTGCCCAGCTTAGGTCATTTACTATGATGTCTTCCAGTCACAACAGTATGGCTCCAAATGGTGAAATTTCATTCTGGTTTTTTGGCTGAGCACTATTCTATTTGTGTACATCCATCACAGTTACTTTATCCCTTCATCTGTGGATGGGCAGGTGAGTTTATTCTTTATCTCGGCAATGGTGAATAGTGCTGCATTCCACATAGAATGGCAGATATCTCTTGCATGAACTGATTTCTTTTGCACTGAAGGTATACTAGGTAGTAGAATTGTTAGATGAAGTGGCAATTGTAGGTTTAATTTTTGGAGGAACCTCCCACTGGTTTCTGTAGTATGAATACTAATTGACATTCTGACCAAACGAGTTCCTCTCTGGAAATTTACACTAGTGTTTGTGTTTCTTTTAATATATTTTATCACTTTGATAACATCCATTTGAATTACAGTGAGATGATGTGTGTGGTGTTTTGATTTACATCTATCTCGTGATTTGTGATGTTATCCCAGTTTTTAAAATTTGTTTTCAGTGTTACGTCTTCTTTGAAGAAACGTCTGTTCAGGTTCTTTGGCCCCATTTCGTTTGGTTATTAGTTGCTCTTTTGTGTTTTTGCTAGTAAGTAGTGTTTGTTGCTTAGACATTTTGAAGACAGCCTTTTTTTTTTTTTTTTTTTTGAGACGGAGTTTTGCTCTTGTTACCCAGGCTGGAGTGCAATGGCGCGATCTCGGCTCACCGCAACCTCCGCCTCCTGGGTTCAGGCAATTCTCCTGCCTCAGCCTCCTGAGTAGCTGGGATTACAGGCACGTGCCACCATGCCCAGCTAATTTTTTCTATTTTTAGTAGAGACGGGGTTTCACCATGTTGACCAGGATGGTCTCGATCTCTCGACCTTGTGATCCACCCGCCTCGGCCTCCCAAAGTGCTGGGATTACAGGCTTGAGCCACCGCGCCCGGCCCGAAGACAGCCTTTTGTCAGATGTAGGTTTCCAAAACATTTTTTGTAAACTTCAGGATGATTTTTTTAAGTTTTTCATGGATTTCTTTTAATCTGCTTGGGCACAAACTCTAGAGTATGTCTGTTCCCTGTGGTGTAGGTAACTGATGAAGAAAAACAAAATCATGGCCAAACTAATCCATCACCTATGAGTTTTTCCCCCTGTATTTTCTGTTTTGTTTTGGCACACTGTGAGCACAGATCCACCGTGACCTAAATATGCCCATACCATGTGTCTTCGTATTGGAGGAGCTTTATGCTTTCAAGTTTTGTGTATGAGTCTCTGATTCATTTTGAGTAGATTGTTGTGCCTTTTACACAATTGGGATTTTATTTTATTATTTTACGTAGGGATATTCAATTTTCAAAACAATTTATTAAACAGATTCCCCCTTCGTTGTGTCTTTCGGTGTTCTTTTACAAAATGTATACGCTACCTCGGAATTTGGGTTTGTGATTGAGCTCCCTCATTGTGTCTGTTGGTCTCAGTTTCTCGGTTAGTGCCAGTCATCTGTTGTTTAGATAACTGGCTTTTCAATATAATTTCAAATGGAGGACAGTGATGCATCCTATGTACTTTGTATTTCCAGGATAGCTTTCAAAATTCAGGGTGTTTCATGGTTCCATGTGAATTTTAGCATCATTGGCATCCTTTCTAAAAAAAAAGAAAAGATTGCCCTAGAGTATATGTATATAACTAGAGAATGCAGAGGCCATTTTGATGTAGGTATACCTAGCACATTGATCAACTCACAATATTTAACATCTGTGAAGTCCTCTAGGTATTATTTGTCTGTGGACAGGATATTCAGAATCCTTTCCAGCTATTTGGAAAATACCCTACAATATTAACCCCGGTCACCCTGCTGTGGAAGAGAAGGGCAGGACTGATCTGTTTTCTAAGTGTAACTTTGTACCCATTACCAATCCCTGCCTAGGCCCCTCTTCCCCACAGCCTCTGCTAACCACTGTTGATGAGGTCAAGTGTTTCAGATTCCACATGCATGAGACCATGCAGTATATGCCTTTCTCTGCCTGGCTCATTTCATTTAACATTATGTTCCTCAGGTTTTTCCACGTGGCTGCAAGTGACGAGATTTCACCCATTTCTATGATTGAAGAACATTCTCCTCTGGATGTATACTGCAGTTTCCTCGTCCCTTCATCAATGGATGAACAGGTAGGTGTATTTCCTATCTTGACTATTGTGAGTACTGCAGTATGGAGGGCAAGGCAGGCATCTCTTCCACATAGGAATTTTATTGGCTATAAAGCTACAGCCATTGGGATGGCTAGATGAAATGGGGCTTTTACTTTGAGGAACTTCCAGCCGTTTTCCCTAGTGTGTGTACAAATTGACATTCTCACCAATAGTGTATGAGAAGAATTTTCCCTTCTGCAAGTCTATACCAGTTGTTTCCTTTTCAAACTTTTATTTTTTTGTTTTAGGTAACATTCGTTCTATGTGGATGGAAGCAGTATCTCCGTGTGGTTTTCCTTGACATTCTTGTGAGGATTAGAGCTTTGGAGAAGCTTTCATTTACCTGTGAGTCAATTTCACATCTGTTTTTCAGACCTATCTATTCAGATCCTTTGCCCAGACTTAGCTTGGGTATTTGTTTTTGTTTCTGTTTTCCCCCCACGTGGTATTGTATTCGTTTCTTGCACATATTTTGTAACAACCCCTTTTGGTCTGCGAGGTGCCTTCTCTTCTGGTTCACTGTTTTTCCTGCAATGTTTTTCATAGTCCCATGTGTTTATACATTAGTGGTGACTTGTTTGCAGTTAGAAACGGTGGAAAAGTTTGCCAAGCCACGGCATTGTCTATGGTTTTTTTCTTCTAATTTTTCTTTTTATATTTCACATTCTGCAACTTTTGTGCATAGATTAGTTTTTTAAAATATACACTTACCCTGTGTTTCCTAAGGGACGTAAGTAGTTTCAAGATTAAATTTAGTTCTTCAGTGTAATTTACATTGATTTTTGTCCTGTTTCGCTATTTTTCATGTGGTTGTCCAGTTTGCTCAAAATCATTTATTGAACAGACTTTCCTTTTCCCGTTGTATCCTTATGTTCTTTTGAAAAATGTGTTCACTGTATGTACGTTGGGTGGTACGTGGGACTCCCTCATTCTGTCCATTGGGTAGCCTTTCTGTTTTTATGCCAATAGCAGATTGTTTGGATAACAGAGGTTTTAGTTGTTCTATCTTTTTGCCCACTTAGTATCCTTAGCTTCTTGTGTATGTTAGATGACAGTTCTTTCAGATACATGATTCTCCATAATTTCATCCCAGTCTGTGGCTGCCTGTTCTTTGGGTTCATTGTTTTCTCCTTGTTTAGAAAGTTTTAAGTTGTCCTTTGTCTAAGATGTTTATATTTACTTCTGTTAGCAGTGGTTTCTGCGTCCCATTGGGAAATAAAGTGAGAGAGATGGTGAAGGCGTCCTGTTGTTTATGGGTATGTTCTCCCTAATGTCTTCTTTTTGCAACTGTTGTGCACAGATTCAGGTTTCCCCAAAACAGACACTCCCCCTGTGTTTTTTCCTGAGAGCTTTTTTGGTTTTAGGATTAGACTTAGGTGTTCAGTTTATTTTGTGTTGATGTTTGTGTCTTGTGCAGCATAAGGGTCTTCAGTCCTCTGAACGTGAATACCCAGGTTTCTCACCTTTGGTGTGTTTCTGAAAAAGGTGTTCATATAATTTCGGTCTGATTGTCTGGCCCCGCATTTGGTTATCGTTCTTGTTTATGCCGCTAATAAATGGATAGAGAAGGTCAGTGTAAGTTTTGTTTTGTTTTCTTGTGTATGTATGTGTTTCTTTCTTCCTTTTTTTCAGCTTTCAACCTTGATTTTCTAAAAGAATACCTACTTTTACTGTGATTAGTAATATTACGAGCACAGTACCAGTAGGGTGGTTCATCAGTTTAAATCTCTATCTCAATAGGGTAAATGTTAACGAATAATAGAAATAACAAATACGCTTATTAAAAGAGGGCTGTAATACACAAATAAGTTACAGTATAAAAGAGTTCAGAAGGCTGGGCACAGTGGCTCACACCTGTAATCCCAGCACTTTGGGAGGCTGAGGCGAGGAGATTACCTGAGGTCAGGAGTTCAGGACCAGCCTGGTCAACATGGTGAAACTGCATCTCTACTAAAAATAGAAAAATAGACAGGTGTGGTGGCACGCACCTGTAGTCCCAGCTACTAGGGAGCTGAGGCAGGAGAAATAGCTTCAACCCAGGAGGCAGAAGCTCATTACACTCCAGCCTGGGGGACAGAGTGAGACTCTAGCTCAAAAAAAAAAAAAAAAAAAAATCATTAAACAAACGGCACTTGTTAAGAGTTATAAAGCAGTTAAACATTTCCCCCAAAATTTTGAAGGATGTATGAGATCCTTATGTCACTCTTACATATCCTTCCAAACTGGATATACATATCACCTTCAGCTGACTCATATTTATTCCTTGAAATAACTAGACACACGTGTTGTTTCAGTAATTCCTTCAGTTGGTGATTTACCTGGTGCAGTACTAGGTGAGGTCACCTTCCCTCAAATGACCCACAGGTGTTAAGAGTCTGTGAAAAAACAGTTCACAGGAGGGACCAACCATGTGTGGACATGGAGTGGGTCATTTCAAGGGTGGGGTAGTCAACCTGTAACCTAAACTGGCACAGACAGGAAAAGCCACAATCCTTTAGAGAGAAAAAAATTTCACAGTATAAATATCCTTTGTTGAGAGAAACAGAGACTGTCTTCAGGGGATGTAATAGTATTAACATGTGTTCTCATTGTTCAGCTTCCGCTTATGAGTGAGAACACGCAGTGTTTGGTTTTTTCTTCCTGTGTTAGTTTGCTGAGGATGACGGCTTCCAGCTTCATCCATGTCCCTGCAGAGGACATGATCTCATACCTTTTTATGGCTGCATAGTATTCCATGGTGTATATGTAGTATATTTTCTTTTCCCAGTCTATCACTGATGGGCATATAGTTTGGTTCCACGTATTTCCCATTGTGAGTAGTGCTGCTGCAAAAAACATACATGGAGCAAATGTGCTCAGAGCAAGATAAACCTCTGAGCAAGACAGCGCTCCAAGCATGATGGAGCTCAGAGCAGATGGAGCTCCAGGCAAGATGGAACTCTTTTTCAGAGCAGATGTTGCTCAGAGTAAGATGGAGTTCTATGCATATGGTCTCAGTGTAAAATGGAGCTCAGAGCAGATGGTGCTCAGAGCAAGATGGAGCTCTGTGTGATTGGAGCTCTGAGCAAGGTGGAGCTCACAGCAGATGGTGCTTAGAGCAAGTTGGAGCTTGGAGCAGATGAGCTCTGAGCAAGGTGGAGCTCGGAGTGATTGGAGCTCTGAGCAAGATGGAGCTCGGAGCAGATGGAGCTCTGAGCAAGATGGAGCTTGGACTGATTGGAGCTCTGAGCAACATGGAGCTCGGAGCAAGATGGAGCTCTGAGCAAGATGGAGCTTGGAGTGATTGGAGCTCTGAGCAAGATGGAGCTCTGAGCAAGATGGAGCTTGGAGCAGATGGAGCTCTGAGCAAGATGGAGCTCGGAGCAGATGAGCTCTGAGCAAGATGGAGCTCTGAGCAGACGGTGTTCTGAGTAGATGGTGCTCAGAGCAAGGGAGCTCAGAGTGATTAGACCTCCAGGCAAGATGGAGCTTCAGAGCAGATGCTACTCAGCAAGATGGAGCTCAGAGCAGATGGAGCTCAGAGTTATTTGAGCTCAGAGTAAGATGGAGCTCAAAGCAAGATGGAAGTTGGAGCAGATTTTGCTTGGAGTATGATGGAGCTCCGAGAAGTTGGAGCTCCAAACAGATGGAGCTGTAAGCAAGGTAGAGCTCGGAGCAGATGGAGCTTTGGGCAAGATGGAGCTCTAAGCGAGATGGAACTTGGAGCAGATAGAGCTCCAAGAGTGATGGCACTTCAACCAAGATGGAACTCAGAGCAGATGAAGCTCCAAGCAATATGGTGCTTCAGTCAAGATTTAGCATGGAGTAGATGGAGCTCAGAGCAGATGGTACTTGCAGCAAGATGGACCTTAGATCAGATGCACCTCTGAGCAGGATGGATCTCAGATCACACTTGGAGCCCTCAGCAAGATGGAGCTCAGAGCAAAAGGTGCTTGGTGTAAGATAGAGCTCAGAGCAAGTTTAGGTCTCAACAGAATACATAATCCAACAGAAGATTTAAGAATTCCTACCTCAAACTCATTGTCTTCAAATGTTGGAATGGAGAACTGCTTGTCAAAGGGTAGTTATAGTATCTCTTTTCCTTTGGTTTTCAGATTTCTAATGTAATTACAGTATTTTTCTGTTACCAGATCAGGGCAAGTCTAGGAGCACATTAGAGCATTAGAGAGCTTATAAACCAGGCCTCTCACCTTTGGGAAAGGGCTACTAAGTGTTGGCTCTGCTGGGTGTCACCTGGCCTTCATTCTCATAGCTCTTCCCTTTCCTGGGACCCTGGACCTCTGTCTTCCTTCTCCGTTTTAAGCCTTGCTTTCTGAATCTTCTCAGTTTATTTCCTCCCACCTAGAAACCATCGGACTTCAAGTGGTCTTGTGATGCGATATCAACCTCTTTCCTTCCCTCTAGGACAATAAAACCTACATGTCTCCTCTGGACACCACAGGTCAAACCTTTCAAGAGACAACAATCGTCAAAACCTCCTCACCATGACAGCAAGCAAGGATGAAGGACCCTGAAGACCCTCAATGCCTCTTTTCATAGGGAAGTAGCTACAGAGAATGACCTCTGCCCCATCTCCCAAAAGATGTCTGGGTCCCAACTCCTGGAGGGAGAAATGTAAGAGTAGACAGTCAGATATGAGCAGGCGTGAGGGGGAGGTATTCATGTTGGAAAGAACCCCACAGAACACCTCTTAGGACGCGCAGTACTCACTCCATGGTTGAACTGTCAGAATGCTGTTAACTAGATCCTGATAAGGAAAAAGGCAGAAGGGGAATTCCTGAGAGCTGCGCAGGCACAATGAGTACAAAATTGACTGCTAGCCCTTCCCCGGGTGGTGGTAAGAAGCAGTGCCACCATTAGACAGGATTCGTATTGATCACTGGTTCCCGCGCGTGTGCATTAAGCACAGTAACAGGGGATCCCCCAAAGTTTGGTGAGAACTGGGTAAAGAAAGAACTGAGGCAATAGGAGATGATAATGCACAATGTCTTCGGCGTATTTCCAGCAGGGTCAGCCCACTTCTCTCGCTTAGAATGTACTTGTACTTCCCCAATAAAACTTCTGCTTGCTTTACAAATTGGTCTTTTAGGTAAATTCTTTCTTCCAAGAAGACAACCAAGGATCGCCCAGATCAGTAATGTCATCATGTGATTTCCCTCATAGTAAGAGTCTATTTCAGGGGATCTCAAAGTGAATCCAATAATGACAAGGTATATCAGTTAAAGAGTTGGTAAGGAAAAAAATAGATCAACCATGCTTGGCTCATTAATAAATTTGTCTAAGGTTTGACTTACTAATTTGTCTAAGGTTTATTTTTCAACTGGGGGGAAATCAAAAAAGCCAGGTGCAGTGGTGCACAACTGTAGTCCGAGCTACTCCAGAGTTTGAGGCAGGAAGATCACTTGAGCCCAGGAGTTCAAGGCTGTAGTGTGAAATGATGGTGCCAGTGAATTAGCCACTGCACCCTCTCACTGCAGCCTAGTCAACAAAGCATGACCCTGTCTCTCAAAAATGTTAACAATTATAAAACATTTGTTTCAGCAAAAATAAATACATTGTAACTTTTTGTGCCTCGTTATTTTAAAAATTCAGTCAGTGTACTAATTTATAGTTTCAGTGGTTTTAATGATCTTCTTAACGCCCAGAAAAGTAGTATTGGCTCATATTAAATGAGGCCTCAACCTTCTGTCTTTACCTGGGTTCATGTCCTAGCACATTATAGAAGGGCAAATCTCACGTTTTTAAGAAAGCATTGCAGTAGATAATGTAAAAGAGAACATATTAAATGGTTGTTCTGATACATAAATTACAAACTCCTAGCTAGCTGATTTAAAAAATCATATTGCTTTGTGTTATTTCTCTTCAAAAATGAGATGATGAGAGTCTAAGTGCTTTAGAGTCATGAAATTTTGCCACTGGGTGCAAAAACAAAATGAAAACTATTTCTGTGAACTGTTTAAGCACGATGAAAATGTAAATGTTCAGTTTTTAATCAGCAAAATGAGGTAGTATGTCATCGTACAAGATGACAGCGAAAGAGTGTACAAGTGAAGATGTAGTGCCAGGAAAGGTTTTTAGGTAAGTGATGTTTACTTTTAGTATTTCTAGATAACTTGAAAAATTGTTAATTTTGAACTTAGTATAGTAGTTCCAAGGTAGACTTGGTTTCCTTGTGAGATACTGGGTTGCCACATCGTGTTACACTTAATAAAAGATTTAAAAGTATCCTGTTGGGATACAAAAGTATGATTCCATAACCACTGCAGGATGCCTTGAAAGAATTCTACAAAGAGTCTACAAGAGTTTTCCTATCTGCAGGTCTACACCAGCCATCGCCTTCAACAATTTTTTGTCTTTTGTAATATTCATTCTAACTGAAAATTATATGGTATCTGAGTATGGTTTTGATTCACAGTTTTGTGAGGATTAGTGATAATTGAGAAACGGTTACCTGTGAGTTGCCTGCCTTTTTAAATTATTTTTTTATTTTTATTTTTTAATTTAACTTCAGGTGCATACGATACACTCTGAGTTGGGTATTTGTTGTTGTTTTTCACTTAGTAGTGTCAGTTTATTGTAGGTGTTAGATAACCTCGTTCAGAGGTAGGATTTTCCGTAATTCTCTCCCAGACTTTAGGACGCCTTTTGTTTGTTCCTTCCCTCTGTAGAAGTTCTAAACTGCCGCTAGTGTTACTGTTTATATTTGCATATGTTAGCAGTAATTTTGAATCCAAACTTCCACCCCCACAAACACACACACACACACACACACACCCACACACACACACTCATAACTAAGCCACTGCATTTTCTGTGAGTGTAGTTCCCTTAATTTTCCCTTTAGTGTTATGATGATTTTTTACCTTTTGCAGCCCGTGTGTGTAGATTCAGGTTTCCTAAAACATACATCCAACCTATGTTTTCTTATAGGACCTTTGCAGTTCCAAGATTGAGTTTAGGTCTTTAATTCATTTTGTGTTGATTTTGTCTATTGTACAATTTAAGGGTTCTCTTTCAGTGTTTTGCATGTGGATATTCAGTTTTCTCAAAATCATTAATTGAACGAGACTCTCCCTTTTCCATGGTGTCTTTTTGGTGTTTTGAAAAATATATTCACTACATATCATGTTGGGTTGAGTATTTGGCTGCCCCATTCTGTCCATTGGGTCCTTATTCTATTTGTGACAGTCCTGGATTGTTTGGATAATTATAGATTGTGTTTTTTCATTATTTTCTTTGCTTCTAACCTTGTCTTTTTCTTTTAAGGCTCTTCACTCCTATTATTATAGATTAAAGGGTACACATGCAGGTTAGTTACATCTGTTAATTGCATGAAGCTGAGGCTTGAGGTCTCAACAACCTCATGCTCCCCCTCCCTTTTTTTTTTTTTTGTTGTCTGGTAGTCATTCCTGGTGTCTGTTGTTCCCTTCTTTATGTTCGGGTGTATTCATAGTTCAGCTCCCACTTATAAGTGAGAACGTGCGGCATTTGGTTTTCTGTTAGGACCTTAGTTCACTTATGGTAATGGCCTGCGGCTCCATCCATGTTGCTGCCAAGGAAGTGCCTTTCTTTTATGGCTGCATAGGGTCCCGTGGTGTATAACACATTTTCATTATCTCATCCTCTGTTTTATTTATTTATTTATATTACTTTTTCAAGACAGCCTCCCACTGTCATCCAGGCAGGAGTGCAGTGACACAGTCACAGCCCACTGCAGCCTCACCTGGGCTCAGCTGATCCCACCTCAGCCTCCTGATTAGGTAGTACAGCTGCCTGCCACCGCCTCCAGCTAACTTTTATATATTTTTTTGTAGAGATGGGGTTTTGCCATGTTGCCCAGACTGGTCTTGAACTCCTAGACTCAAGAGATTCACCTGCCTTGGCCTCTCAAAATGCTAGAATTACAGGCATGAGCCACTGTGCCTGGCCTCAAGGGGTATCACTTCTGCAGCACACTATTAACAGCAGGAGTCACAGACCTGGCCCAGATTCAGCAAGAGGGGAAATAGACTCTCCCTCTCAATGACATCTCAGTAGGACCAGTAGGAAAAAGTCTTCAGCCATTTTAAATTTACCACGGGTACTATTTTCCAGGGCAAAGTATACACCTTAAATCAGTGATTGTTACATAACACCGCTGTGTCTTCACTTGGTGTAAGGGATGGAAAATAGAGATAGCACCACCTTCTTCATGACTTTGACTCACATGAAATGTATGCTCTGGCCCCTGCAATTTCAAGCCCTACATGTTAAGAGGCTCCAGCTTCAAGAAGGAAATTGCTTCTATCAGTGGGCCTAAGAGTCTCATTGAACTTTCAGCTACAGCTGCTGCTTGATCACTTTTAGCTCTGGTGCCAAGAAACTATCCAGAAGAGAAAAATTCACAGCCTGCAAGGAAAATGGACTCTGATTATCAGTGGGAGGTCGGCCTGCTGCCACACAACATACCATAGAAAAGAATCTCTTTGGTGCTCAGTGATCCCAGTGCTTTTCTGAAATGAAACAAACTTCATGTCAATAGCATGTTGATCTGTGCAGTGGAAGGGATTAACTTTAGTGAGTACTATAGTGTTTTTCCAAGATCCTTTCTTAGAAACGATTTACCCACCACCTGGCTGCTGGTGGCTCCCGGCTGCACCCGTTCTATCATCGTCGTTCACCACGCTGGTGAAGGAAGAATGCCCCACCCTAAGTAGCACAAGGTAGCTGAACACATGACACCTTGCACTGAACAAATGTGATGAACAGCAGTTTGTGAGTGACATATACTCATGGCCTGAGAAAGAGGACACCACACACCAGGCAGGGCCACGCAAGGGGTGCCCTCCGGAATAGAGTGAAGCAAAGGGGCACAGAGACAGGCTTTATAGGAACAAGGGATGTGGTGGCCTCTGGTGCCTGTGGGAGGGTGTGGCTGGCTTTTTTGTTGTTTTTGTGAGATGGAGTCCCCTTCTGTAGCCCAAGCTGGAGTGCAGTGGTGCAATCTTGGTATCCTGCAACCTTCGTCTCCTGGGTTCAAGTGATTCTTCAGCCTCAGCCTCTTGAGTAGCTGGGATTACAGGCACATGCCATCACACCCAGCTAATTTTTGTATCTTTAGTAGAGACGGGGTTTCACCATATTGGCCGGGCTGGTCTTGAACTCCTGACTTTGTGATCTACCTGCCTCAGCCTCCAAAAGTGCTGGGATTACAGGTGTGAGCTGCACCCGGTGGTTTGTTTGTTTCATGGGTTGGCAGGGGATGGAGACACGTGAGGTTGAGGATTGATCGGGGACACTGGTTCAGCCGACAGGGGAACAAGCCAGCCAGGAGCAGGGGAACAAGCCAGCCAGGAGCAGGGGAACTCACGGGGCTCCCTTAGGGCCTAGAAGCCTGAAGCACACTTGAAAATTCTTCTTCTTCACATTTGAGTCTATGTATGTGGGTGCTTTCAGTATTCACATCCACTGTAATTAAAGTAAGATTTGCCATTCCAATAAATGCACTCAGCAGGTCAGTTCTGGGGAGGAGACCCCTAAAATGCAATGAGCATTGTATTGTCTCTTCAGAGAACTGTAGTCAAAAAGCCACAAAAACCAAAAGGAATCTTTCTACCATGCCACTTTATAATCAGGAAGGAGATTTGGGGTCATGACCATTTAGAAGGAAGATGAAGATACATGCAGTAGGAATAGTATACAATAATTCATTGAAATCACCTTTACACATTCATTTATCAAGTTCAAAGTTATATCATAGATCGGGGTTGGTGAGTTTTTTGTTTTTTGTTTTTTTTAAATAAAGAGCTAGATAGTAAGTATTTTACGCTTTTTGGGCCATATGGTCTCTGATGACTAGTTTTGCTGCTGCTGTGCAAAAGCAGCCATGGGCAATAGTAAACAAATGGGCATGGTTGTGCTTTAACAAGACTTTACCTACAAGAGCTGGTGGCAGGCTGCACTGGCCCAATGGGGTAGTTTATCAACCCCTGTTATAAAGTATCTGTCCTCAAAGAATATATTTCATATGTTTGTATATTGCCTTATTTTCTAACCTTCCCTTGAAATGATCAGCTTGTGAGGTATCCAGACAA